TTCAGGAAGATATGTGGTGGTTGCCATAAAGCTAGGAAATTCAGCTGTGAGTCTAATATGCACAAGTGATATTCATCTAGTTCATGACATTATGAATGATTAAAAAAGTGATAGCTTTCTTTCATCAAAGAATGGGAAATAACAATACTGTAGCAATAAAGGTATGCAGTACAGTTAAATATAATATGCAGGAAAAAAAAAACCAGCTAGGAAAAAGGTTGCTGTGGACTGGCCAAGGCACACAATTTCAAATACCTATTGAGCATTTTTCTCCAGTGACAGAAAGCAAGAAAATAATTTTGAAGGTCTGAGGAAGCCCCCAATAGACTTGAGCCCTTCTAGGAAACTGACAGTGAATGTTGGGCTATTGAGTATAGAATAACTTGTGAAATTAATGGGAATTATTCAGCTAGACATGTTTAAAGGCTAGAGAATAGGGAATCCAATACTCTACCACCTAATTTGGCAAAAATGCAGACAGTGACTGGGAAAGGTGCATTCATCCAAGAACTGAAAATCTGGAATATGAGCAAAAAGCCTTGATAGCCAAGTTAGCGCATGAGATAATAATTTGCTTGGATTTGATTATTGTTAATGACTGCCTAATAAATTCCAGAAACTGTGTCTTAGAAAGTAAACTTGTGGTAACACTCCTTCTAAAAGCGACTCAGCTTTGCAGAAAACAAGGAATAGTTTTTTTAAAATTATATTCTCCTTCTAGAAGTAAAAAAAAATTAACAGTCTTTTAACTACCCTCCTCAGGCAAGAAAATATAAAAAATAGTTGAAACTTGGTTCATGGTGGTCTTAGCTGCTGTTGTTAAAGAAATTTTTTGTCGCTCCACTTCAGATTTTTTCTGACAAGCAACAAATAGTATAATGGAAATTCCATCATAATATATGGAAGAACAGATGCAGTAGATACTGATAAGAAAAGGAAGGGAGGATGAACTCACAGGGTTTCCTCTGAATTTCTTCCAATTAGTATTGAATGTACCAAGCTGAAACGGTCCATGATATTTCTTAGTCAGAAATGAGTTCTTAGAAGCAAAGGCACAAATCACACTGGACGGTATAAGAGTAATAACAAAAATGAATAATACTGGTAAGCACATATGGCACTAAGGAAGAAGACAGAATAACCAATTTTGCATAACAATAAATCTGCGTGAAAAGGTTTTGTATTCATTACCTATTGTTCTAGATACCAAATAAAGTGTAACTTTAGTTTCCAAAGTGGAGACTGGATATCAATGGAAATGGAGCCAAAAGAAAAAGTAGAAAAAGTTAGTACTACCATTACTGTAGTATCACTGACTTTGTGGCAATTTATGTATGGATGGAGTTGTATATTTCCTAATTTCAAAAGATTTATGATTACTTATTCTCTCTCTTAACCTGTTTCCTGTGTTGGTGCCTGGAAACTATATTGAATAGGAACTGAAGTACTTCCATATAAGCTGAAGACACCAACATGAAGCTGAATCAAAGACAATTATTGTCTCAAAGTTAGTTTGCAGGGTGAGTTAGTGCCAGGCGACTCCTATAACCCAGCAGAGCTGTCACCCACCTTTATAGAGAATACTCCATGTGAACCTTTACCAAGTTACCTGCTGTAAGGATCTCAGCTTAGAGTCAGAGAAAACATGCAATGGCCTTCCAAAACTGGAACAGCAAATAACTTATGAGGGCACCCTCAGTACTGCAGGTTGGTGGTCCGAGTCCCTGTCCAGCTCAGAAGCTGGCAGTCAGTACTAGCTTGTAACTGAATAGCTTCAACAGTTTTCCAGATTCTTTTCCAATAAGAACTAAATGCACTGAAACCAAAAGAAGCCCCAGAGACTTATTATTACCATTATCATATTATTATTATACTGTTTATTTCTGTTAGATTTGAGGCCTCAGTGAGATACAAGCACAACAATAATGTTTTAGCAAATCTGGAAAGCTCTATCTGAACCATGGGCTGAGAGAACACATATTAAATTCAATCACTCCAATTAAAAACAAGTACCATTGTGTCCCCCACCACACTATCTCAGGTAGTGAGATGGACTGTGAACTAGCTGGTGGGAAGAAGTCAGAGAGAGGTGGTCAATGGAGCAGAGTCTAGTTGAAGACCTGTGTCTAGTGGAGTCCCTCAAGGGCCAGTACTAGGACCAGTATTATTCAATATATTCATAAATGACCTGGATGAGGGAACAGAGTGCACTATCAGCAAGTTTGCTGATGACACAAAGATGGGAAGAGTGGCTGACACACCAGAAGGCTGTGCTGCCATCCAGCGAGACCTGGACAGGCTGGAGAGTTAGGCAGAGAAAAACTTAATGAAATATAATAAGGGCAAGTGTAGGTTGTTGCATCTGGGCAGGAACAACCCCAGGTTCCAGTATAGGTTGGGAAATTATCTACTAGGGAAAAGGGATCTGGGAGTCCTGGTGGACAGCAGGATGACCATGAGCCAGCACTGTGCCCTTGTGGCCAGGAAGACCAAAGGCATCCTGGGGTGTATTAGAAGGGGTGCAGTTAGTAGGTCAAGAGAGGTTCTCCTCCCCCTCTACTCTGCCCTGGTGAGGCCACATCTGGAATATTGTGTCCAGTTCTGGGCCCCACAGTTCAAGAAGGACAGGGAACTGCTTGAGAGAGTCCAGCACAGAGCCACCAAGATGATTAAGGGAGTGGAGCATCTCCCTTATGAGGGAGCTGGGTCTCTTTAATGTGGAAAAGAGGAGACTGAGGGGTGACCTCATTAATATTTACAAATATGTTAAGGGCGAATGTCATGAGGATGGAGCCAGGGTCTTCTCAGTGATGCCCAACAGTAGGATAAGGGGCAATGGGTGTAAGCTGGAACACAGGAGGTTCCACTTAAACTTGAGAAGAAACTTCTTTACAGTGGGGGTGACAGAGCACTGGAACAGGCTGCCCAGGGAGGTTGTGGAGTCTCCTTCTCTGAAGACATTCAAGACCCACCTGGACGCCTTCCTGTGTGATCTCATTTAGGTGTTCCTGCTCCGGCAGGGTGGTTGGTCTAGATGATCTTCCGAGGTCCCTTCCAATCCCTAACATTCTGTGATTCTGTGACTACCAGGTTTCCAATGGAAGAAACTCCAGGTAGATGTTTGAGGAAGGAGAGGGGATGTGATCCAATAGACACCGCTCACACTTTCTGAACAGTGATGGAATTAAGTTAGTGGTGCCCTTGCCTTGAAGTTCAGACACTGTTATGTATTCCAGTAATCCACAGAGCATCCTCCAGTCTTTATCATCTAACACTTGGTGATACAAGATTATCACAGAAGGGGGCCTAAGCTAGTTACTTTGGTGAAATGGTTCAGAAGCAGAGACAAGCCTAAACTTCATATTTTCTCATGACTGACTCATAGGACAGCTATCAGTAAAAGTCCAAAAGAGATCCTTTTTATCTGGTAGAAGTAAATTATCTCTTAGAAGACCATGGCATTCCTAGAGGAACAAAACTAGTTCTGACTGTTTGAACTAGTCAAAACCGGCACAATGGAATCCTGAACGGGCTCACACTCTTGTAAAAGAAAATTTGAGGAAAACGTTTGACTAAGTGAAGGGATATGTATGAAAAAAAGGCCACATGGGAAAACTTTAAGAAGAAGGGTTGTTCTTATTAAATGGTCTAAGAAAAAGCACAGGAGAGAGAAACTGTGTAGATCTTAATAATACATATGGTATGTATAAATTAAAAGATCCCATATGTAGAGAAAGAGTTAGGATCCATATACTAACTCTAATTTCCACATAAACACAACTGGTAGAATCTTCTGACTTTTGGTTCCCTCAAAATAAATTTATATTTTATACTTTACTTGAGCAAAACAGTTTACAAGTTTCCTGCTAAATTAAAACTTTTTGAATTCTGAAAATAATTTCCAATTTTGCAAATCCGTGCAAAAAAACTTAGTCATTTTAATATCATTTTTACTTCACATATATTAAGAAACAGATAATATCCTCTGGTTATCCATAATAGAAGAGGTCTGACCCGAATGGTTTGTTTTTACCCCTATATTGAAAAATATATATTTTCAAGTAATATAAAAATATTGAAAAGAAAGCATCCATAAAATCCAAAATGACATTTTGGTTCAATAACTTGATGTTAGGTTTATTTCTGAAATGGTAAGTACTATAACAGAACTTTTTCCCATAAAAATTTTTACTGAATTGAAGTTGCTTTTATTTTTAAACATTTTAAATGCTCTTTTGCTTTTTGAGAACTGTTGGAAAAAATATTTTCCTCTTCAAAGATGATAACACAGTTCTGAAAACTTCACTGGGAATGTAATTGAAATCCAAGCCAGTCCTCAGAGACTCAGAGAAGGGAGCTCCATCAGAAAGTTTGATCAGGAAGCAAATGAAAAAACACAGAAGTTATTTAGATTGGAGTAAAATTTTTTTGAGTTGGCAAAGGGAAAATAGACTGCTGAAGTAATGTCATCTGTAATTTCGTAAGGTATTTATTTTCTTTTAATCCTATTTGAAGTATCAACATTTCCAGTACATTGCCTTGATTGGCAGAGGTGTTGTATGACTTGGGATAAACTCCAGCAGAACTTTTAATTTCTATCTGAAGTGCTCCAAGTTCTGGAGTTCCCTCTGCTGAAAACACCCATGCATTAGGAATATCATCACATGCCTATTACCCCTTATCACCACAGCAAGTCAAAACTTCAGAGGGACAGACAGCAATACTCTTTAGTACTTATGCCTGGGCCTGACCTCCTTTTAATCTCAGTAACTGATCTGAAAGAAACTCTAAGTCATGGGAAGTAATACTTAACTAATCAAGTAAAAAAGAATATTAGGATTTTTTAAAGTAACAGACATGACAAAAACTAGCTCATAAAAGACTACAGAACCACCCTACATCACTATAGGCAGGACGATCTGCCTAAGGTATTAGGAAGCACTATTTTGAAATCTAACAGTTCTATGAACTGTATAGCTATTCCACATTTTTCGCCTTACCATTTTGTATTCTTTCCAATTTTTTTGAAAATCCAGACTCCCATCTTCTCGGTGTTGTATAACAGTCCATCCTCCTCCAGCAATTTCCATATTGCAAAAGACCTATGCAGAAAGTTAAAAAAAAACAAACAAAAAAAAAACCCACTCAACAAACAATAAAACAAATTTACATTGTAATCCTGTCCTCACAAAAGCAAAAAAATATTAGTGAATCTAGGAATTAAGGAAGCCTGTTTTGCTATGTATTCATGTCCTATGCCCTCAATCGTATCCTCAATTGCTTGATTGCAGCCAGAGCTCTCCTTATGTTCAGTGCAATTCTCCCAGTAATGTCTCCTGTTCATTCAGCACATTACCCAAGAACATCTGCCCATCATCCCCCTCTGCATCCGCAGCTTTCCTCTTCACATTTTCTCCATGCTCCTTTTCCATTTTCACTGCAATGCCCTTAAAAACACTCTCTTCCTCTTAACAAATGAGCATTTCTTTCAGTGATAATAATATTTTCTATAGCTTTTAGCAGAGTGTCATTCTGTTTAAGAAATTATCTTCAGGAATCCTTAGAGAAAATACCCATTCAAGTAGTGCAAAATGTAGCACAGATGAGATTGTTCTGTTTTGCAGTGTCCCAAAACAGAAACAGTTGATCTTAGTCTAAGCTGTGTTACAGCTGATAAAGGACATAGATAGTAACAGGCTCGAGAACAGAGGTCTGTGCAACAAGCTCAGAAGACCTATACTGAACATGTAAGAATGTTAAGAACCTATACTAAACATCATACCCAACCATCATTGCACTAATATAATTCTAATTTAGATACTGAGATTCTATATATTAAGGATATTTTGCTGAAGTTTGAGGTTAGAATAATGTGTCAACTGAAATCTGTTCTCAATCTTAAATAACCCATATAATAATCAAAATGGATATTTAATTTTCATTAATTTTTTACTCTTCTTACATTATCCTTTCAAAAATATAGAAGATAAGTTATGAAAAAAATATAAATACTGCTTATTCATTCACTTTTCTTGGTGTGTGGCAAGTGATAGTATTCATTTTTGTTCCTACTTTTGAATGTCATTTGATTTTAAGATCTGACTAAGTTTCTCAGTGATACTTAAGTAAATTTTCCTGATTTTCATTCTTGTGTACTGATCCATGTCATATTGGCACTGCAACTATCCTAAATTTAATTTTTCTGTACTGTTGAATAGTTACATCCCTCTGTTTAAGTAAGATGTCAATACATAAGAGGGTTGAAGAGGTGTCACCCATCCGCTTTATCTTTTGGCATTCACATCAACAAGGGTCAATCCATTTAGCCCCTATCAGTAATTTAAAGCTTTAAATTGCTTTACCAAATTGAAGGTTACTATCCAATTCAGTTAAATAAAAATTTGTCCCTTGGTTGACTAGAGAACCATATTCCACCCTCAGGCAAATCAAGTTGAAATCTTTCCTACTCATAAGCACTGTCATAGTAATCCTGTGCAAGAGCTTTTGTTTTAATTTGCTCCAGGAATGTTGAGCGAAGTCCCTGTGTAGGTACAGGAAGGAAACAGAATACTGAACAGTGCAAACATGTGAACTTGATTTAGGGTAACCACAAGAAAACCCACAATTTGCTAGACAAATATTTTGGTCCTATTTCTCCTTCAGGGAAGACACTGCGAGTCAAAACATTTATCTACAGGATTTAATTTCGTTAGCCTGATTTACAGTGAGAATTTCTAAACGATAGATTTACTTTCCTTGTAAGTAATTTCAAGCTCCCATGAATCCACTGCCAATTTTTCAAGCATTAAATCCTCAACTGTATTAAGATTACTCATTTTAAAGACACTCACAAACAAATAATGGGGTTTTCATACTAAAACATAATAAAATACCTGCAAAAAGACTTTGATGTTTTCTGAATAAAATAGCAATTTAAAAGAGAAGACTGCACAGTGAAAGAAAGATTTACAGCAGCACATTATTCACTAGCCATCACTGTGTGGTCTGGCACTATGCACAGTGGTAGACACAAACACCTGCTGTATTAACAGGAGTGCCAAGCTGATTATAGATGTTCATTGTACATAGCTCTAGCCAACAAATGTCCAGGACTGGCTTCTGTCCCAGACAAGGTCAAGTCACTCAGCAATTAAACACCTTTTAACATGTTCTGACATTTAACCCTCTACCAGAAAAGAAAAGGATGAGGAAAAGTGACTTTGAATTTGTATGAACCTTTAGATTCTGAGTTTATCATCAATAAAATAACCTGATTAAGATTAAAAGAGCATCCAAAGCATTGCACTCTTGCCCATCTTTAAATGTATTGGTAGAAATACTCAAGACACTGAAAGGTATATATGATATTATTTCTACATATTATGGACTAAATTTTTATAAAACATAACAATCACTTAGAGATCAGTTCAGTTTTAAAGTAAATAAAAGGAGGAGAGTTATCACTTACTGCATTTTAATTGCATACACACTAAGACATCACAAGTCTACACTGTTGACATGGAGCAACAAGCTCAAGACAAGCCATTTGAGATTCAGGGAACGTGTATCTGTTATGCAGAAACCAAGCCTGAAGGTAACCACGTTGGGATGACAGTCTCCACAGTATATGGGGCTAGCATAGATTTAATGGATTCTGGCAGATATACTCAGAGAGATGATCAACTCCAATTTGGTAGGAAGTCACAGGCAGAGTGTAGAGGGAAAGGAGTGCAGGCTGCATTCATGACAGTGGTGGAAACTGCTTTTGCAGAGCCATAAAGACCCAGGTATATAGACCCCACTAGCAACTAAGATTATATTTTCAGTGCAGTGCATCCAGAAGTTAGTAGAAGTCATGTTTGTGAAGGTATTAGAGTAGACAATAAGAGTGTCCAATACAGTGAACCAAGGGGAGATATGGAGGTTCTGGGTGTGCTCAGACCAGTCCCACTGGCCTACATCAGCTCCTATAGGTGACATGGTTCCTTCAGCTCCAAAATGGTGAAAACCTCACTCCCACTGCTCCTCTGCTCATCAGCAGCCTCCGTTTCCCCTGTAGCTGGCTCTGCCTCTGCAGGGGACTGGGAGGTTTCTTTTTGCCTTTTCTCTCACTATGGCCTATGGACAATTATTTGTCAACACCATCAGGCATTGCACACACACACATATCAAAGTAAGCCAATTAATTAACTTAATACTTTAAACTTATCTTTTTCTTTTCCCATCTCAAAAATATGGAATATATTATTTTAAAGTTAAATTAATTACTAATTTTTGATGCAGGGTTGGAAGACTAATGAATTAAACTAATGGACTGTTGAAGTTAGGAACACAGAAGAAAAATGACAATCTAAATTTGTAAGCATATAGAAATAAGGCATATAAATTATATGGAGCTGTAAGCATGGAGGATAATTTTCTATAAATGTATGAAGGTAAAAGCAGCAAAAAACTAGAACTGACAGTAACATTTGTATATATGACAAAGGGATACTTTCTATTGAATGTCAGGTTTCTAGTAAGTATCCCTTAGGAAACATAAAATGAAATGAAGGTATATTTTTGTGACCTGAAGGATAAAATTGCTATAAATGAGACAGTTGCCAGTGGCTCTGAGTATTACAGAAGGTAACAATATATTAGGCCTCTTAAGACATGTCAGAGTTGTGTGTTGCATTGTGGTAATCCAGATAACTGAGCTGGCTTTGAACAAGTGGATATGTCTCTATGGAGTACCTATCAGGATATCACCCCGGGTCCCAGAGCAATCTAACCATGTCAGCATGGTGCTACCTCTGGGCTAATTAGTCCTGGCACTGTGCTGCATTGATGTGATTTTGAATCTATCTCAGCTGGAGTTAGCTCAGCTATCTCTGCGTAGCACTACCTTGCAGACTGTTAATACAACCTTAATGTCTGAAAAAACATCTGTTAAAGCAATCACACTTCTCACATGCCTGGGATCACCTCTTGCTGTGTTATCGCTAGGAAAAGACAGAAACAGGCGGTAGCAGAAATGCCCTCAACACTCTCTCTCACTCCCCCTCCTCCTCACCAAAAGTCTTCCAAAAAATCAGTCTACTTTACAAACTAATTTTTCATTTTCATTTAAAAAATCTCACAAAGATCTTTTTTGAGAAGAACAGGATTATACATGCTTCATAATTTCAAACAGTGCCAATATTCAACACGTTGTGTTCTTTACAGCCAAGAATACTCTTCCCTGCTCTCTACAAGAGAAGCAAGATTTTGGTAAATCTTTATCTTTCAAAACTACTCATTCTGCTATTTTTCTTTCGGTGCTACCAGATAATCCCCCTAACAACTTCCTCATTATATCACTTTGCTAATTCTTTTCTAAACTTTATTAATTTATGCGCAGCCATAGTCTGATTCAACTGAACTTGCCAGGTGGGTGGAAGTAAGTCAACTATTGAATGTATGTTGCAACTTAGGAAGGATTCTCTGTCAGCGAGAAAGAATTTCTGGAGTAGTACAGTTTATCATTTTCTTCACTTTATTTTTTTCAAGAATGAATATAGCCAAGATCATTTCTATCAGTATAATATTTTGCAGAATGAGAACATCATTAAAGGCGCCAAATGCTACTTTAAAGCCAGAGCAACATCATATTAACAAAGTAAGAAAATAAAAAAAATTATTTACTTTACCTTTTTAGGATCTGACACATTGTTAATATAAATAGTGTAGACCCCACTTTTGTTCAAACCAGATTGGTATACATCTGCACAATCTCTGAAAGGTTTTTCTTCCTCCTTTTTTGCATTCTTTAGTAAAACTGCAAAACAAACAAAAAAATGTGATAATCTGAGTTACAACAGCAATCTTAAACATTTCTGTATCTAGGAAGTCCACTTTTGTGCATTGTTTACCTTTTAAACATACACAGTAATAACTGTGTTATGGTCCTTACACAGTAATAACTGTGTTATGGTCCTTACACAGTTAGTGCATTTGGTAAATGCTATTAAAGAACTAGTATGAAACTTTCAGGGAAGGCATAGTAGGCACCATCAAAAGTAAGTCATGATGCAAATAGCTAAACAGAGCATCCTTTCTTCTGAGAGGTGAACACAGCACTTTCCTTCTGAGTACAAAGGTCTATGCAGCTGCAGGTGTTGCCCCTGACTCAGGCTGTATCTGGGAGGTTGCCAAAAAATGTCCCAGAGATGGCACATGGAGGTAGACAAGCTTGTTGAGTGTTGTGATTTGAGGCAGATGCTTGCTTCAGACAGCAATGCTGAAGGAAAGAGCTTCTGCCCTTCCTCCACGAGGTACTGACTTTTGAGCAGCCTCAGGGCTTGGGGCAAGGGAGCTGTTTGCTTAAGTTTATTTTTTTTTTGACAGAGACTTATTTCATAATTTTCATATCTACATACATAAAAGTTGCTAGATACAATTATTGGGAAAAAAAAGAAGAAAAATCAGTGCTACTTAAGCCAGTTGTTTAGAGTTATGATTTATTGATTTATTGAATTTATTTTTATCTCAGAACAGGAAAACAATTAATGTTAGAACAGCAGTGCAGGTCTTAATCCTGCATATTGCCAACATATAGGAGTCTGGCTGAGAATTTGGGAGGGCAAGATGTTTGAGGATCCCAGTCTTGAACAACCAGGAGATTCCCTGTAGAAGGAGTAACATCTGAGAGTGTTCCTTCACTTTCACAAACAAAAGTAGTGTGACCCCACACAATGCTGAAGGATATGACTTAATTTCAACAACACGTACTTTAAGCACATCAGTATTCCCATGGAAATCCATCAGTCTACTCAGATTCTTAAAGCTAAACATGTCCTTAAGTGCTGTGCAGGGCCCAGGGCAGCAGTTCATTAATCCCTACAATAAGGAAACCATATTTAAGTCCTCCAGACACACTCATCCTCTGGTGACAGACACATCTTTTGTCATTTTTGGCTTGAAAACATAAGTTATAGGTACGAAACAGATTGCACCTTATTCACCCTCAATGAAGTGTCCTGTGTTTCAAAGCTGGTGCTTAATGACAATGGTGTGTAAAAAAAGAACTGGCCTTGCACAGCATGTGGGACCATCCAGGCCATAAGATGGCATGCAATAATGCCAAGGCTTTGTAGTTTGATATACCATCTCCACTTTGAACACTTCAAAGTAGTATTTTAGGATGGCAAATTCCTGCCCAATCAAGTGGCATTAATGCTATTTCACAGATGGGGAAACTGAGAAAGGAAAAGGTTAAAAGTTTCAGTAATTTTGTGAAAAGGTGAAAAAAGAAAAATGGTGAGAAATCCAGTTTTAAACTGTAAGACTATCCTGTTCTCTAGGCAGGCATTTTAAACTTCATAGTCTTTTTTCCTTTTATGTGTTTTATTTTGTTCTTTTAAAATTTGATTTTAACAAACAAAAACCTCTTGCTTCTCTATTTCCCTGTAATAGCGGCATATTTATTATTTTTATCCAACCCAACACAATGAATAAAAATAAAACCTGATTCATATACTTGCATATGAACTTCAACTGGAAAATCAATGGCTTTGAAGCTTGGCCATATTTGGAAAAGGCAATGTTAGCAATGCAGTAGATGACATCCTTCCCTGTGAGATGGTAGGGAATGAGGTCCCCAGCAAGGTATGCATCAACAGTGCACTCTCAAATGTGCCATTTTTTAGGTAAGACCTAGAACTGAGGCTTTCACAATTTATATTAATTAAAGATTTCACGGTACTTTCCTGTAAACAGATGGTATTAGTATCAGTGGCCAAAGTCCAACTTGAATAATTACTTGGGGCTGGAGCCAAAGCCTAGAGGAGTTAAAGCAAAGCCTCTCATTGATTTCATGGGGTTTTAGATTAGATGCATTCTTCCTGACCTGAATTTCTCTAATACTGTTGTTTCAACTACAGACATCAGTATCTCCAGTCTAAAAAATGTATTTAGTTGAGCAGAGGCAGAGTATTCATTTTCTTGAGTTTTAAAGTACTTTTATGTCAATCTGTGTATGTGGAGAGATTATTTTACCTCTACTTAACTGTTATATACACATTGAAAACCACTTGAATATAACTACTTAAGAGTCAATCAAGGAAATTTGAATTTAGTTCCTTTTTAACTGAAAGTTAGACCAAAAAAGCATGAGTATATACTAAAGTTCATATTATTTAAATTTTAAACAAGGTAAAATCTTAATTTCAGAGTAACTAGAGTTAGATTTGAATATAATTTTCTAAAGAGATAGATTTCTAGGAAGCATACTTTTTCTACATTCTTAAAGACTAGAAAAAACATAATAAAACTGCTGTTGATATAAGAGATGAAGGACAGAGAGATGCCATAGATATGCCCAGTTCCTTCCATCCTCCCTCTCCGTATCAAACAGCTGAAATACACAGACAGCAGATGTGTTAATTTCTTATAGAATAAGCAACCCAATTCCATCCTTTTGCAGCAGTGGGTTTTATTCAGTGAACCACTGTAGCCAGGAGAAGGTGGCTTTCCTTGGGTGCCTCTCACCCCTCTCTCAGGAGTTGGTGCTCCCACTGGAAAGGAAGCTCATCTCCTTGAAGGAGATGAACTATTACAGATTGCAGCACAGTATATTAAGCATGACCAGCACAAAGGTTCATTTTTCTTCATATATCAGACCGTAACTTGCAAGAACAGCCCTAAGTTATCAGAAAATTAATACTCAGGAATGTTACTGGTAATGTTCTTTTAGGGTAAATTTTTTTTTTTTCCTCTGGTTTGCTGTTGTTTTTCTAACTTAATATTCCATAAAATTTCCAAATCACTTCTACCTACTATAGCTCCAGATTGTTTTTTCTATAACTTTAGATAGACCTTGAAAACTTTATATATCAAGTGAAGTTCCTGAATGGTGCATTGGTTCACATATGGTAGATGTGTAAATAATTTTTTTAAGAAAGTAAAAAGACTCAAAGAAAGTAGCTCTAAACCGAAATATGTAGCCTTTTCTTTGTTCAGCTTCAAGATCTTAGTTGAGTTTACACAGATTTCTAATGTTAGTTTAGCTATTTTCGAATACAATGCTTATGCCAAAGTTTTATGTACCTGAAAGGTAAGTCTATGTCAAGCAAAAGAATGCTATAATTTTTAAACCTGAATGCTTAGCTAAAATTTGGAGCCCTGGAGGGTTTCTTTGATAGCCTTTTCTGGATGAATCTACTGGTGATGAAGTCGTGCTCCTTCATGAAGGAATTATGCCTGTGTGGAAAATCCTCCTTTCCTGAACAGAAGGAGAATTAACAAGAGAAATAAATTCTTTCATTGCACTTGTGAAAGTCTTTTGGTTAATTTTTAGCCCAATAACTTTCTCCTTGGGCTATGCTACCTGCATTTCCCTACTTGATTAATTATTTCCTTCAGTTATCAGTCTTTTAGCTGTTGCTTTTCCTCAACACCCTGGATGATGATTTGAGTCCAGGCGGTACAGCAGGTACCATCCATAACTGCCCAGAGCTCTGTCAGATGGCTGCTGTCATGCAGCGGCAACAACCCTGGCAGCACAACGGCTCTGCAGCCCCACAGAGGAACAGGAACTCAAATCAATAAGGTTTCTGCTAACCCAGAGGCTGTGAACTGCCAGGGCTGAACAGCTGTTCTGCTGCTCCTACTAACAGGGTATTAACCTTCAGTAGAAATCCAGGGTCAGCATCTGAGGTTGTAGCCTAACCTAAGAAAGGGTTAATTGAGCTTGCAAGTGAGAGAGTTCAGACAGGTAGGGCCTTTTCCAAAGCAATAGCCAGGGAAATCCCTTAACTGATTGTTAATTGTGTCTCCCTCTGTGTAGGGTGAGGTTATTTTTCTATCAATCATGAAAATAAGTCAATAGTAAACGAGTTTACTACTTCCCAACAGTTATCACTAATGAAGGTTGCCTGTTTTTTTGCCCAGGTTTAAAGGAATACAAATTGACTACTAAGAATAGTAGAAATAAATAGTTTCTGAAATATTTAGAAATCTAAAATTCTCCTCTAGAAATAAAAAAATATGAAACATACAATATTTATCTTTTTTCCTAGCTGTTTGAAAAATATCTCAGCTCAACTCTACTAGAAAATAAATATTTAAAAAATCATATACTTGATTTTTTTAATTGAGATTTCTGATTGGTTTTGAGAAAATGAAGTGGTTATCTCGTTTTTCAAGTCTCAGTCATATATTTGGTGAATGAATAGTGCCGTTTGTTTGTAAGCAATAAAGAATGTTAAACTGCAGTTCATTATGTTGACTGAATCAATAAAATCATGTTCATATTTTCTAAATTATTTAAGATCTACACTGCCATATTTGTGAATTCATTCGAGACTGAGTTAATTACTAGTGTCTTATGTCCTTTAGTGATACTGCCAGCAAATGGAAGGCAGCTGTTGGGGTTTTTTTTCGCATGATAGTGACTTATTTGGACAGATATGCAGAGATTTCTGTAGTGTCTTAGTGAATTATTATATTTTCATTGTTTTAATGCTTTGTTTACATTAATCTAATTTTCTCATAGGATTTAATGATCACTATACATACCAAAATACACTTTAAAAAATTATTTATGCTTTTCAAGCCAGGAAGGAAAACGTCTCTCTCCATAACTTATTGGCAAATAGAACTGACCTAAATTTTAGCTGCTCTATCAAAAGCATCCAAGGTAAAAATTTCTGAACCCAGATGAGCAGCTTCTAAAAAATGAAAAAGGAGAAGGTTGTAAATTGATGGCTTCAACCTACAGCTGTAGCACTATAGGACAGGGTCATTCAAGGACTACCAAATGGCAGTTTCTGTCTAGTT